TTTATTTAGACAATTGTTTTATATTAATTAAAAAATATGTTGTAATAAAGCAATATTTAATGTATATTATATAATACTCATTGGATAGTAAATATTTATTTCATATAATAACTCCAAAATTACTCGTTTGAATTTGGATTTTAATGTATTAATATCTTTAATAAATCAGCTGTATAACAATTCTCAATAAAAAAAATTCCTATTTAAATAATATATATTATAATATATATATATATATACTATAGTACTATATAGGTCCTTAACCTATTATATGAATATACTAAAATTTCAAATATACAATAAACTGCATTGATCTGTATTTCATAGGACATCATCAAGTATATAATTTAAAAACTACTCTCGATTAAATTTTGATACGTACATACTATACCTACCTCAAAAAAACCATTCTTATTAGTCATAAAAAAATCTATTTTTTTTCTTAAATAGATCAAATTCCCAAAAACCCTATTTGAGTAATTGTATTTGTATAGTCAAAGATATAAATGATTCGATTCCATTTCGTAAAAATTTTCGTGAGTATAGGTTCTTGTGTAAATTGTGTAATATAATGTAAGATAGGACGAATAATGTCTGTAAAAGTTAATACTCGAATAGTTGAATATTATGTATTAAATTACAATACCAATAGCAATTATGTGTGTATATTATTTACCACGGTATACGCATCTTCGTTATTTTAAGTGTTCTACTATCCTTCCGACTAGTTTATAGTATTAAATTACCTTACACACACGACACACCTATATAATATTTACCMCGGACGCGTGCCGGATGTCACTAGATGTGCCTACGAAGATTTCAAATAAGCGTGTTTTATATATAATATACAGTGTGCTCACTATACATCTATATATACTACACCTACATTATAAATATAATGTTATTACTATTAGGTATATATACCTATGTTTTATCAAGGTGATTTTTTAACGCTTTAGTTTTTATACGACAAATTATATGAAATCCTCTACATGAACAGTGGCAGTGTAAGTYGTAACCACCTGGCCCCTTTATTTTTATTTTTTTTTAAGGAAGGGTGGTTATATAGCGACTGCTTTTATTCGTCCCCCTCGCGTAGGTATCGTTACTAAACATCGGTCGGTCGGTCGTGTGTTGGCAAGGGCACGTGATTCAGCGCGCCAGGAAAAGTATATAATATAATATTATTATGTACGCTCACACATACCTAGTCACCCCAACATATTTACAGTATACCTATAGGGCTGCGTGCAACTCGCGATACATATTCCTGCCGTATGTTGAATATTTTGATATCGATCCAAAATGAATATTAAATCTGTATATTATATACGCACATGCTTATAATACAAGAAACGCAATTCCACCGTATGAATACGACAGTATAATATTGTTAACTATAAAAATAGACTATATATACAGCATCTCTATATAATTTTATATACTTAAATATAGGCCATAATATATAATATTATATTCAATATTGGTACATATTAAACGAGAGTACCTCGTGCGAGAGTAACAAAAAGGGTGTATAATGTATACCTGCGGGCGCGATACGCGAATAATGGCAATATTGTTTTCGCACGCGTCCTTGAACGCGTTTTCTTAATTTATAAGAGTCGCCCGCGGCGACTGTGTACCTGTTTTACATGTTTTAACCCGCGGGGTTTTGACTTCAGAACTTGAAAATCTTAACACATATTAGTGATATTTAGATGACATTAATTTTTTGGTTGTTAATTGTTATTATAGCTAATAGATAAGTTTCTGTAGTCCATGAATTATTTTCAAAACGCGAAAGATCTCATAGAGATATTATATAACTAAACTATAGATAAATTATACCTAAATTTAAACGAGAATAACTTAACTTTAATCCTTCGTCGACTGTAGTAGAACTTTAATAATGCTGTCGCTCGCATAATTCATCTTTCAAATATTTATAGTGCAAAATGCAATGTTAAAGCAATTGACTTAATTAATTGTAACCAAATGTATGTATAATATAATATCATATAGGAAAAATTTGTTATGTAGRTGTACTATGATTTTAAAAATTATACTTTTTTAAAAATTTGTTAATTTATTGAAACCATGTAATTAATTTAATAATATGTATATATAAGCACTTAGCACCTATGGTTGAAAAAAAGAGTAAAATAAGTTCATAAGAATTAATCCTATATTCATATATTTTCTTCGTTACAGACATCTTAAAACCATGCATTATAATGGTTAAATTATTATAATTATTTATATTTTGCATGTCCCAGAAATAAAGACCTACTTAGTATAGGCAGTACCACAAGTAAAATGCATTTGATWAAAACAATGTTATAATTTATTCATAAATTCTTTTTGTATTTCATCGATTAAATATTATTAATTAATAAACACAATTAATATAAATGTGATTAAATACTAAACAGTGAGTTTATTAAATAGAAGTTTTGTTCTTGTTAAAATTTACTTAAGTATAAAAATATATTTTAGCAAAATGAAAAATATTCAAATATAATCATTAAATATTTATGATATATTAGCTATATTCTTGTTGTAGTCTCATTTTCTCTAATTTAACATGGCTATATAGAATAGTTTCGAAATATTATCTAACTTCGTTATGAGAACTATCCCTTATTATTGACCTTTGTCATCAACTCTTAGWGCCCAATATTAATTGTTCGTATAATGTTTGTACCATCTATTTGGTAATTATAATTAATTCAAACTGAATAAAACAATTGTACACAGAAAATTAATTTATTACACTTAAAACTTTGGTAGTTTGGATTTCTCAAACTAAAAGTAGAGATTTTAACTGTATAATTTAATAATATAATATAATAATTTACAACGTTATGTTTATTTTCAGTTCACTCACTTCCCAATCTTACTGTATTAAGTTTATCAGGTTGCAGTAAAATCACTGACGACGGGATCGAATTGATTGCTGAAAATCTGCCAAAATTACAAATCTTAGACTTATCTTGGTGTCCTCGTGTTACCGATGCAGCCCTCGAATATATTGCATGTGATTTAGTTGGATTGGAGCAACTGGTCTTAGACAGGTAAACACTACATAAATTTAATGTGATAACCACGAATAGAAAAATGATCAATATTTAATTTTTGCAGATAATTAACTTTAAATTTTATAATATTACTAATAAATAATAATTCGTGTAAAGAATTAAGAAATAAGTTTCGTAACACAAGTATCATGTTTTTTTATGAATTGATTTCGTTGTATTTTAGCTATAAAACGGTGACCCATTTTCCGTTAAAAAACAAAACTATTTTTATCGTCTATACCAGATTATAAAGCGTTATTTAACCCTTCAAATGTCAAAAACCAATGGTCCGATATTCGACTTATTGTCTATTATTAATATACCTATATAAAACATGGTTCTATAAGTATTATTATACATGGTATAGATAGTATTCAATCGTAGTCATAGGGTTTTACTTACCAGACAGTAAAATATTTTTTAACTAGGTAATTGCTTGTAAGTATAAAAGTATTCAACAAAAATTGAAGTGATTTATTTCAACGAGTAACTAAAAAACGTCGATACTTTTGAAAAAAAAAATGAATAAATTTAGTTTTATTTGTATTTAACCTTTATTTATAACAAAAAATATAATATAATACCATGTCAAACAAATGCATTTTTAGAGGTTCTTTATTCTATTCTAATTTCTAACAAACGATATTGTATGTATACATGTTTTATCACCATTGTTAATAATTGTTTGATCGCAATAAAATATTTTAAGCTTATTTACGAGGATGTACCTATATTATATTATTTATTTATATTATTTTGTTGACGTATGGTTAACTTTTAGAAAATATGTAAAATATTCTATCTTTTTTTTAGGTGCATACACATCACTGATATCGGTATAGGATATATATCGACAATGATATGTTTACAAGCGTTATTTCTACGTTGGTGTTCACAACTACGAAATTTCAGTATACAACACTTATGTGGCATGCGGCATCTAAGGATACTCTCACTTGCTGGTAAATAATAATTTTACGTGTTACGTTAAAAGACACATTTATTATCGGGTTTAAAATCTAACATTCTGGGAGAGGGTAGAATTAATATTTAATACAATCTTCTTTGATTTGAAATTGTGTGAGTTTTATATGAGAGGAACGTTAACAGTTTTGTTTTTACATAAACGCTGTAATTTTAGATCATATAATAATGATAATATCATAAGACATGTATACTACATGCATAATTTAAGGCCAGGTGTGGTGAATATTTTTATGGAATCACTTACCCTAATAATCATATTAATAAGTAATATTCTATTAACTAATAAAATATGTTATGAAGTGTTTCATTTCACACTCACACTAACACTAATTTAAATCAATTATATACATTTTATAAGGTACTAACCTATAACTATTTAATATTTTAACTGAAATTTATTATTTTTAGGTTGTCATTTGTTAACCTCCAGTGGTTTATCCAGTTTAATTCAAATGCGACATTTAGAAGAATTAGAACTGACAAATTGTGCTGGAGCATCACCGGAATTATTGGAATATTTGCATGAGCATTTACCATCATGTTTAATTGTAAGATAGATATTCATAAAACGTAAACACGAMAATAATGGAGAGTTGTTAATTATTATATTTTATTCCTTTTTTGATTGTTTACTTCTTTTTTTTAAAAACTTTTTTATACATCCTTGGGTTTTGATTTTCAGTAGGTGTTTTGAGTCTGTTATAATGTCCGCACACATATCATAAATCCCACAAAACACTTATTATTTTATTTATTTATTTTAATTTTTAAAATTGCTATTTTTAAGCAAAATTTGTTGTTATTGTAACTTTTGGAATTGATTTAATTTGGGTTCAAATTACAATATTGTACACACGTACTATTAAGCTATTCTCGCCTAAAAACACTATTGTGACTATAGGTATCTAAAAAGGTACTTACTGGCCTTTTCAATGCTTAAATTATTGTAATAGGTAGGTATGTACAAAATGTGCAATAATTAAAAATAATAAATATATTATTTAATTTAACGGTTTCTAATAAACCATTAACTTTAAGTCTATATCAAAGTAAAAATATAATTGACCGATTAGAGAAAAAAATTTATCTAACAAAGTTATGATATTATTACCTTTATTATCATAAAGCATTTATAAGTTTGAATTAGACAAGCAAAAATAGTTTATGAATATGAACCGAATGTAGAAAAGAAATATTAGCCTTCAGTCCATTACAATAACATTATATTCTGTTTAGGTTATAATATTTTGCTCTAATATTTAAAATATATTTTCACATGAGAATTATTAAAAATTATTAAATAACGAAAAAGCTATATGAGTGTAAAATTCTCTATAATTATAATAGCACAGATATCAACGCTTAAATTATGAACATAACTCGTATTGTGTAATAATTGAATTACCGGCCTAATAATCATTTATATAACATAATTTCTAATATTATCTATAACCTATATATATATTTATACATAAATATTAAAAATTATAAATTACATTATAAACGTGCAATTAGAATATTGAAAACTTACCAAAGTTGTATAATATGTTACCTTTAAGTTGATGATAAATAATTTTAGAAAAACAACATGTATCAAAATATAATGTTTAAAGACAAAAATTGTTTTTAACAGACTCCTACTTGTAAAATATGTATTATTTCTTCGTTTGTTTATTTTTAATGTTTAAAAAATTAACAATAGGTATATATTTATAGAATATTCAACGTTAAAAGACTATATAAAAAAAAAGTATAACAAATAACAAAAAGTTCCTGGTGAATTCAATACGAATAATCGTAAAGAAGAAAAAATATGTTGTTATTCGCTATCGTAAATTGTAAAATTTCAGTCATGTATACAAACAATAATTTAGGTTTAGTTTTGATTATTTGCATTTTAAATTTTACACGTGTTATGTATATGACTAAATTTATTTAAATCTATTCGTTTTGGTTAACCACTTACACAATGATTTGTATACTTTAAATGTGTATTTTAAAAAGTTAAAAATGAAGACTATTTTTCTTTATGAAATATATATTTTTAGATATCTTAACTGTTCTAACCACCTTCGAAGATCAGTTATGTACATAATGAAAGACTGATGATGACTTTTTATTAGGCAACTTAGTATTAAAAATACATAAATAATTGTCACGACAATTCAAAAAAAAAAAAATTAATCTGAGTGCGACATATAAAATCTTATATTTTAAATATTGTTCCCAAATTTAGATTTTAGAAGTAATTTTTTGTGATTAGTTTATTATATTATAGCGTTGTGAGTATAATTTAWAATAATACAATAGWATATAATAWAAAAACAATACAAATATTATATCTGTTTAAGTAGGTAATTTAGAGAAACTGTTGGTTGTACATCTAATAAAAATAAAAGACTTGAAATTTTTTTTTATTGTTTTATTTTTTATGCAATACATTTATTTTATTTTACCAATATTATTAATGATCAAATCTGACCTAACCATTTTTTTTTTCAATATATTTGCTCATTGACATAGATTATCTTGTAATTACTATTTTAGTTTTTATAATACCTATATGATATGGCTATATRATAAACAACTTAAAATGTAAAACAAATAAATTATACATTATCGTGATATACTGTTTACTCTACCTTTTTTATTTTKCACTGTAATTTTTTTTTTAAATTAATTTATTTAATTTTTACCATGTACTGCAGATTAATAATTTTTAACAATAATATATGAATATAAACATATATACTTGGTACTTCATGTATAATAAAATAAAAATGACCAATAGTACTATTATATAATTTTAATAAAAAGAGTGGCAATCTTATTAAAATTTAACATTTAAATTTAAGATGTAGTTTATTTATGTGTACTGATATAATAAAAAATATATGCTAAATTAACTTACCCATATTAAAACCATTATGAGTTATGACCTTTAATCCTGAAAATAACTAAATTCAGATCCATATAAGAATTTGTATACAGATAAGTAGATAAAACAATAAATAGACAATAGTAACTACCTAAATACATTAAGTGAGCTAGGTTGCATTAAATGTTGTAAGTTATTAGCAAATTAAAATTCATAAAAATATTAATATTTCAAAATTTCAAAATTTCAAAATTTATCAAAATTTCATGGTGGTGGGGACCTAAATAATACTTCTTACTTTAAATTTGATAATAGATCTGTTTTCTAAGTAAAATTGTAAAATGAAGTCTTCTGAACGTAAGATTTATGGATTTACCTAACYTAACCATGTTATGCATTTAYGCGCATTAGTAACACTGATGGAACACAAACAAGTACGCCAGACAATCTAAATTATGTGTTTAAWGTTTCTATACTTATTTCTTACTGTCAGCTTCAGTGAAATAGTGTAATTTCTCTCTTAATTAAATACCTAAGCTAACCTAACCTTAGCCATAACAGTATTTATGTCTAAAATATATTGACATAAGATATAACTAATTTATTATCATCTTTACGTCATGGCCACAGTCACTATAATCAGCATGCATTTTCGGGAATAGGTTGAAACAGCTCATCGCATACGTAAAAARGTTTGTTCATCCACGCGAATAACCTATTATATGCGTAAGCAGCTYAGCGGTTCGCGTCAACATTTTATGTGATCAATACATCACATCTTTAAAGATTTTAACTGTCTAACCAGTGGCACAACAAGCGGGGGTGTTGCCATATTGGGTGGTACTTACACTAGGGCACTAGGGTAGCTGACATTTTTTAGGACACTATTTGATGTGTTTGTGATATCGGAAATTTCCAAAAATAATATTTAAAAAAAAGTTATTACGTTCTAAATAAATTTAATCTAAATATATTGATATTTTAAAATTAACTACATAACTTAGAAAAATGTTTTTATCATCAAAATTGTTCTTATAATCAAATTTATAAATTGGATATTTTGAATTTTACCTAGTTGAAATATATTAATTTATTTAGGTATAAAATCTATACTATAACAACTATGGTGAGCAGGCGTACTTTTTTCAGGCGTACTCTTTTTTGATGCATTCTCCTAGTGTCCTTAATATTAGTGTTAAATACATCAAATTGTACTTTTTTTAAAGAAAATATTATAGGATAATATAATATGTTTATGATTTTTATAATTTGAATTTGAATTACCTATCCATTTATATTTTATGGTTTGACCTAATGTATTCTGGTTGGTTAGTAGCTAATCAGTTTAAGTGTACTTAAAATTACTTAAATTACTCAAAATATTTTCACATAAAGACCACACACCAATAATTAGATTTTATAGTTTATGATTAAAAAAAAATACTACTATATGTAGTAGGGCACCAAGTAATTTTAGTTACTTGAGCACCATTAGTAGTTGTGCCACTGTGTCTAACCTACGAGTATATACAGGGACAGAATGTGAAAGATAGACTTAACAAATCAAAAACTTTTTTTTGATAAATATTTTTTTGAAAATTCAAAATGGTCAAATTGTAAAATCTGGTAAATTTGGTTTTTAGAAAAAAGTTGATTGTCATAACATTTATTTAAGTCGARTAGTTATTTCTTTCGTCCAGTGTTCAGCTATTACATACCCTACATAACATAATATATAATATCGTTTTTGACGAGGGTCGAGGTACAACGTGCAGTATGTAGAATTATAAATACCTGATTATAGARTAATATCATAACACTCTGGCCATAGATAACACAACATAAYTAATACCTAATTCGAACCAATGCGTCGACAATATTATGATAAGCTAATAAAGTAATAACTAATAATAGTAATATGCTATAATAAGATAAATGTATACAATATATTATGTTTTGAAATTTATTTTCCAACACATCGTTATCTACATAACAGTTCGTACTGTTCTCGAGTATCGGTTGACGGTTGTAAAATTTTTGTCGTGTGATCAGCATCACTCGTTGCTGCCTCAAGTRGATTCGGGTCGTCGTCAAACTATAGAGCGTCACTGCAGTAGCGCTGGATCGGTGACCTGCAGTCCGAATTGCTTGAGAGGCCCACAGGACGGTGGACGGCCCCAGAGAGGTCAGACGCGAATACTCTCGCCGACCACCGTCATCAGCAGGAACTCGGCGTACTGTGACCGAACCTCGGGATCGATGAACCCGGCTAACTTGTACAGCCACACGTCCACCGTGGACCCGTCGCCGGTTGCCAACTATGTGTGTAGTGTATACCAATGCAATGCCAACACCGTTCCGAGCGTAACTTCCGTTAAGAGCGTACGCTTTCGCCGCCGAAGTGATTTCGGCCGTTTTTCGTCTCGGCGCTGAGTGCTGCGATTTCTGCGCCGGAACTTCGTCGTCCACTTCCCCTCCACCGGGATTGAAGACGATGTCTGCTCACTACACTCCCATTGCTGTAATGTCCTGCAAGCGGTCCTCGTCTTCGTCTCCAGCTACTTCCGAAATCAACTTTTCCATCATCACATCCGATCGCCGTAGCCCACCGCCTAGTTTAGACGGCTTTCTACTCTGCTTATCACTAGGTAGTCGAAAACTTATACGGCCGAATCCTATACCAACTTTTTGTATTTATTTGTTTATATTGGAATATCACAATGCCACCGGGTCACTGCTTTCGGCGTAGGGCCGATGACGTTAAATACCGATTGTGTGTGATTGCAATTAAGTCGGCACTACTCGCACACATATAATATTTATAAATATTATTGGTGGGGGGCTGTGGTCTTTAAACAGTAAATTAAAAAATTCACCGGACACAGGAATTCGTTCTCGGGTACTGGCTACGATTGGTCGGATTGAATAGCATCAGCACGTAAATGTGTACTGGTTGGTCGTATACTCGTGTGGCCGTGCTGCACAAGTGGTCACACAAGTATGGGTACTTTATTCCGCTCATTCGACGTCGTGTATTGGCAAACACGTTTTAATTAGCTACTGGTGGTCACATATACGCAATGCTGTTCTGTCTATTGACTTTTCATGCATCCGTTGGACGATCACATTTTCAATGATTTTTGGTGTTCATCAATTGCACTGAATTTAGGACATTACCTATATAGTATACATCAATTATTGCGCTGCAGGAGCATTTTAAAAATCAATGACACAACCCGCCTTAGTTAATTTTAATTTTTATAATTTAAGATTATATATAAATATAGTATAAATGATTAATATGGTTAAAATTTATCTTTTAATTTAAAATTCATTAATWCTGTAATTTGAAAATGCTTGAAGTTAGAGTGTCTTGATTTCGGTTTCAATATTTACTTTTCTAACAAAATAAAATCATAAAACGTAGTTAAAATATAGACAAATAGTATTATAGACGTTTATATATATTTAACAATCGATCAGCGCAATTGACGTACACAATTTATAAAATGTGAATATCGTTCGGTGCAGTTAATGAGTACCTTTTTTCTATCTTATAATTTTTCTTTCTYTACCTACGATATACCTTGATATTATAT